GTGCCGTTGCGAACTGCGCAACGCAGGGTTGACTCTGGCCAGAGGGCGCAGACGCCAGGTATGATAACGATAGAAGCAGCCGCTGCAGTCAAGTTGAAGCATTAGCTTTTTGAGCCGCGGCAGCACCACCACCAATACGGTTATATGCCGTGTCCCATTTCATCAAACAAAGAATTTTTCCATGGGTCCAATCGCGGCCCATTCCTTTAAACACTCAAAGGCAAACTCAACGAGCTGCCCACTTAGCAGACTGGGGCGATTGTCTCTGACAGTAAGCCATGACGGTACGCGGCTACAGCTGTTGTGCTGACTTGGTAGTTCGGACATGCATGAAGAAGGCCGGCGCTTGCGATGTACGAATGGAAGACCTATACAGCTCACATCCGTCCTACATAGAAGGAGGTAATTGAGGTATATGTTGGTGTCTGCGTCTCATACATTAGTCGGCTCTCTCACCCTTGAATTCAGCTCATGTAATGGTGGCAGAAACAACGGGAATGTGAAGGGTTTTGGTTTCAAAGTTTCCTCCCTTTTCAGTAGTGTCAGCGCCTTCATTTGATATCTAACTACACTGGTGTGCAAAACCTGAGGACGAACTAAATTCTCAGTGACGTGTTTCTGCCGAGTAACACAGTTCTATGGGTCCTAACTACCTACAGAGAGAACTAATCCAGTATACAAAATGCAAATGACAGGATCCGTTTAAAGGTCCACAAGGCTCTCAATAAGTTAGGATACTTTATAATCCTGTCCTCAAGTTGTGCACACCAGTGTATAATGCCAGGCCTTGCTACCAAAATATGCCTATGAGCTACATTTTTGGATCTGTCTCTAATAGCCGTGCGCTAAGAAAACCAGTATTTTCTTTTTTTTCTGGCTGGGCTGCAGTTCTTTTTCTGTCTCGACCGCGGTACAGTCGGAAGTGGCCTAGAAAAAAGATACATTGTGAACGGTCCAAAAACTTTAGCACAGAGCCTTTACAACTTTTCTTGTGTCTAATAATCCAGTGTGTGTGTTGAGACGAAGGCGAATGTAGCATCACTGCAACTAAATCATCTTCGTTTTCGTGCATCGGATTCCAAAGACGTTGGGCGAGCTTTTCTCGACTGACGTTCAAGCGCAGAGATGCCAGAGTCGTGAAGCAAGGAAAGACCGCGCCAAAAATGAGTTACCGAAGCATATAAAGTTGCATTGAAATGCGTCTATTAATTCTGATGGGAAACGAATGCGCGCCGCATCCCGAACTAGTCTTCGCGAATCCCCATTCGTTTTTTCTTCTCTTAGGATTTTATCCAAATTTATGGGGCGTAAGCAACACCATTCTGTGCCCTTATCCGTTAGAAGAACAATTACTCGACTATGTTTTATCGAAGTTAGATTGCAAAAATACATGTACTCAGTTTGACCTTTTGACCCCATTCAACTACCCGGCATCTATCAAATAACCAGGCCAATAACCTTCTTCAGTCAATTGCAAGAAGGATTTGTCCACTCTAATCCGTAGCGATACCGTGACGGAGTGGGTGGAGAAAAGGTCGCATTTAAGCAAAAGACGACCGACGGCTGCCGATCTAACCGGGTGATTTGTCGGTGCGGTGGCGGTTTCCGTCAATCAGGATTGACCTGACAACATGTCAGCTGTTTTTCACCTCTCAAATTCTCCTCATAACTTATGCCATTAGTTCAACCATCACCATATGTTACCATTGAGAAGTAAGTATTGTACAGTTATCGCTGCCATACACACCACAAGTTGAGGAAGAAGCCGATTCATGAGGTAGTTTCCACTATAGCTATTGCCCTTGAACTGGCTTACCCTAGGAACCTACGCTATGGATACTGTAGTTACCGTAACCGTTAGTAGATGGTGGGACATTATAGTTCCTTTTATTATCATCCCCACCCCCTACCCCTTCCCCTCTCCCTGTAAGCAAAGTACAAATGAAAGGAGAGCCATACGGCACTTTGGAAAGCGCCATACTTTTCATTACTTAAGAGGGTCTCGGGTATCTGAGTGCAAGTAATGGTTTTGCAGAGGCTAGCACTTCCGATATTTTCATATACACCCAATTCTTTCATTTCCTAAACCTCTTTGTAACAGTTAAGCAATCCCGAAGGTGCAAGGGACTTTTAGCCCTAGGCACGATCCCAAAGGTAGGCAATGCGCTGCACTTTGCGTACTGGTAAAATTTAGTAGCTACCCAAAGTCTATCAGCAGGAATACATAGTTATGAGAGCCGTAGAAAGATTAAGTAAGAGTCCCCAGAGAGATTTAGTCTCCTCCGCTAGAAATATAAGGTACAAGCTCTTGATCTACTATTCTTTGATTCTTTGATCGAGTAGGCCCTGTTTACAGCCCTGTTGTTTTGTTTACTTATTCGAATTAACATGAGGTCTACTATACTTCGGAATTCTCATACCGGAAATCGAAATGACTGCACTTATTTCGAGTTTTCAGGATCCAAAATGGGTCGTTAAAATAATGAAGTGCTCACGTGTGTGAAACAAATGCTAATCAATTATCGCCCTGGTGAAATTCACATCCGCTCCAAATTGTTCAGCTGTTTTTGCGGTTTTCATAGTCGGGATACGAAAGGTCGAATCCTCTTCGTACTTTACGATCCTAGTTTTTTTTTATTGTAAACAAATATACGTTGTAGCAGAGGCAGGGTGACTTTCCTATGATTCTGCCATTTTTTATCGGTTCTGACCCCCTCGATAATTTTATTTTCAGATTTGCTGACCATTCAGAAGCGAACGAATGTCGACGAAAACGAACAGTGAGTCAGAATTTATCTCGTATTTTAATGCCGTCACCTGTGGAATGTTCATCAGTTCTGTGGACTTCATCCACTACAACTATCTGCTGACCTTTGCAGTGGCACAGCCCTTCATAGAGCCGTTCAAATGGGCAACGCCGTTATGGCAAGAAGCCTGCTCAACAACAAGTCGGTGTGGATTGACGAAGAAGACGGTCGAGGTAAGCTATCTATCGGGATCATTTACAAATCGGTAAACCTGAAAATTTGATTCCAACTCCTTAAGCAGTAGGTAAACAGAGCTCACGAAATCTTAGAAAGTCTACGATAACTTTTTTGTCATTCTAATGTCAAAAAAGTCACTCGACAAACAGTAGTAGGTACTGGTGCTGCGGATCACTTAATGGTACTAGTTTTTGATGCCAAACATTTTATCGCTGAAATTTTGGGCTAAATTTAGAGCAATGAATGATTTAGTGGTACCAGAGTAGGTGATTAATCTGAAGGCTCAGAAAGAACTCTCATATCACGGCAAGCCTAATCGCCTCATAAGTTCTTCGTTTTGGCTCTGTGCTTCTTTTTCTGCACAACCTATAAGTATGTGGTGTAGGGTTCGATTTGCTATTGCGCTATTGTTCATTAGGGATACTCATAAAGACACATGCCACTCCCCCCCCCCCTTACAACTGTGATCGTTGATGTGACGTTGCTTGAATTGTTAAGCCTGGTCCATCCTAACACACTTCTAGTTCTGCAGAGATGGGAGGACACTTCTATCATAGCTCTGCAGTGAGTGGGAGGGGGAGGAGTAATCCATCACAAAATACAATCCCCACGCTTGACTCAACCAGGCTAGCTGTTGACCCTGCTCCTTAGCCTTAGTTCCATGAAGATTTTCGTTGCCAATTGTGTGTCGGACCTTGTGCCCGTCTGGATCCGTTACCTTTGTGTGATTCTTTATCTACTTCGTGATTAACACGGAAACTTCACGCAGTTGCGTGATCAACACTAACCTGAGTTTTCTAGGTCGAACGGCCTTGCACTACGCGATGGAGCAGGACTCGTTTGAGATTGTCGAGGTGTTGATAAATGGGGGAGCCAATCTGGATTGTGTGGATTTCCACGGCACCTCTGCTTGCCACTTGGCCTGCAAGGAAGGCAAAATTGATGCGGTATGACAAATTCTGTAATGCACATGGTTGATCTTTCATTTTCCTTGACGTTTTTGGCAGAAAGGACTAGCCTTCCTAATTGTACTCGTATGAAGAATACGTAAGTTGAGGTATGCTTGAGTTTCTGCTGGGAAATTGACCACGTGGAGCATAAGCCAGCATCGATGTACTTACCTAGCTTATAAACACAAAAAAAAACATTTAGGGTCAACCTTGTCTCAAATTTGATATTTGAAAAACCAACGCTTACAATAGGTGAAACTGAACGCGTCTTCCCAGCCAGCCTCCGACATTGGAGCCTCAAAGGCAAAAAATCAGGATTAGATTGATGGGGTGATTCAACTCCAAAAGAAGGGATGGGAGGTGGACAGCCAGTGGCAGAAGCCTATTTGGAATAGGCCAGCCTATTTGTACAGTGTCACGATTTTTACCTCAGTGGCAGAAGTTTTGATTAACCCTAGGCACATGCGTTTGAAGTTCAGTTTCAAGTACAGCAAAATCTAAAATGACTTCAGTAGTTGTAATTTTGTCACAGTGGGTGATTGGCTCTATCTTGACATTGCTACACTTGCAAGCATAGGTTCATTCACAGCAATGATAGTGATGCTTTTGATGCTATTAAAATATTCTTTAACAGATTGCGGACCGCCGTTGTATGAGAACCTTCGCACCTTTTTTATAAATCATTAATCTATCAAAAAAATTTTATCAGTGATGACACGTATGGTTTCCGGCTCTGAAAATGAGTGCAAACAGTTCAGGAGCATTGAAAAATGTCAAATAAATCAGATTAAACTATGCTGTTTCGTGCGAAATCGTGCGCCACATGGTGGCGCACGCGGTACGCAATGTGTTAACATTAAACATGTTTTGAGTGCAAAAGCTCAAGTGCTCAATTGTGGTTGAGAAGGAATAATGTAGAGGAAAGCAGAGGTTTTTTTTTACCTATTTCACAAACACAATGGAAAACTTTACAAGTTTCTAGAACGCAGCTCATACTAACTATGGAATGATTTTATTATAGTCGACTGAGAAGGCCCAAGCAATTGATGGCCCACAGTTGTTTTCCCGACCTTTTGGGAAATGCTTTGCGTGAGTCTATGGCCTTCACTCAGCACTTCTCAACCTGATGAAATGCATCGACTTTCTTTCGGAAAATAGTAAAACTCTTCATTATACATATAGTACCACAGGTCGAGAAAAAAGGCCTTTTGCCCATGTCGCATTTCAGCGACTTTTTTCGTCTCAAACATCGCCGTGGTTAACAGAAGTTCTCTCAGCAAAATATTCCTATGTCCCTCTATAAGTTGCAGGCCCTCCTTCACTGCCCTCACCGTCTTCAGAATATGACGTCATCTCACCGTCGTCAGGCTCAAGGAGGTCTACCGTAAGAGCTTCAGCCTGAAGCTCTTACGCAATTTCGTGAATCGATTTAATGTTGGATAGTTTTCTAGAGGCATTAGCTACCACTGTGCAAATCCCCTCGGAACTAGCTTTCCAGTAAGGGTCGTTATGGTACACGATCCTTCGAAGACCCCATTGAGCTCGACCAGTGCACCATGTTTCCAGGGCAGATTTTCCTGATGCCGTCCATGTACAATGCCGCTAAGCATTCATAGTTTGTCAAAGTGATTGGGCGCATTTAAAAGTGGAGACAAAATATCTTTTTTTTTCATTACCTCTCCCACCCCATCTCCTCCTGTATATGAGTTGTGGTTAGAGCAACCTTCACTGCTAATCTAACCAGTGCTGCGGCAGTATTGAAAGGTTCCGGTTCAGAGGACTCATGGTCACGACACATGTTTTTTTGCGACCACCATTCAAGTCGTATGCAGCCAGGAACTGCTCTTTCTGCTACATCTGAATTTTAAATTCGGTTTGCAAATTGTCAAATCTGAGATTAACATGACTTTTTGGGCAAAAACCACAAAATCGTATCAGTTTTGATGATGTCGCCCTTCCATGAAAGCGGTGCGGTTTCTGAGTCACGGTTTTAGTTGAATCATTGCTCCAACACTCGCACTGCCCTGTCTCCTCGAGACTCTATTACACTCCTAAATGCCCGTCGACATTGGCACACCTTCTTAGATTGCTTTCATTTTCCGCAGTAGCTTTCAGCTGAGGACTGTCACTGTCCTACTGTAAATCATTCTTTGAGAGATCATCAAATATGCACCGTTAAAGAAAGTTCTTCCAGTCAGGCAGGTGAAGCTGTTCATTTTGGAAACTGCACCGATGAGTTTTGTACTACGGTTCCCCACCATCAAATTCTACACCGCTACAGGAGGATTAATAGTAAAAGATTGTTCTCTTGTAGCAAGGTTCCTGCTCGCGCAGCTGTGCAGATATGGAAACTTAGCCACACTACGTTCCCATAACACATGCAGCTCCGATTCGCTTACCCTTCACCTCTAGTTACTGAAAGGCAGGACCGGTACTATCGATAGCCCCCACGCTGTTCCAATTGTACCTGTCGCCCCTCCCCTTTTTTGTCGCGCTATGGCCAGATGGAGGGGCCGGCTTATGAAGAAGTCCACCACAACGAAAAGGTTCAAAAGTGACAAAAGTTGCGGTAATCAAGTGAAATATCGCTCGGAACTGAAGCGCACAACTTTCACCCGAGTAGTGCTGAGGGTATGCGAATCGCCGTGTAATGAAAGATTTCGGGAGTGCTGATTCAATAGAACGAAAGGTCAGGCGTTCAGTCCTCGGGCAAGGCCTGGAAAGAAGCCAGAAGACGTGTTCGGATCATGGTTATGAGATTAGATAAGAAGGTACGATTGCACAACAGTGTCGTTGTAAACACCGCACCCTATTGTCTAAAGAGATTACTTCTATATAAGTTATGACGACGACTTCAAGTGAGTGCTGAAGGTGTGCGACTTGCGGCTAGTTCCACACTTAGGCGGGCACACTGAAGATAGCCTGAATCAGGTGTCATAGCTCTACGGTGATTGGTCATGCACTCTCAAAGGGATCGTTCCTTGAAACCTGCAGGGAATCCTAGTTTTACTGCACAGACATCTGCTCCTCCTCCAGCCCGAACCCACTAGGGAGCACCATCGTAGTTCTTTCCAAACACAAGATAAGAATGCTGTGAAGTGAGAACAGCATTTTTTCGTGGCTGTCTCACTTGGAAAAGAATCAGCTTGATGGATAGAGAATTTTGATCGGTCTCCCAGAAACATCCAGGAAACCAGAAATTTGCAACGCTGGGTCAAAAAAACCTCTGCTAAGCTTATATTTATTTTATTTATTTTATTTATTTATTTATTTATTGCGTTTCTTGTTTTTTTACTTACATATATTCGACAATTATGTGAAACACGTTGTTTCTACTTATGCTAAGGTCTGATCTAAAGAATAAATAGAAAAAAAAACTTGGTTAGTGCTCGCGCATGCACTAGAAAAACGCGACTCGCTGGAAGGTCTCAATATCGTCGACGGACAGTTGAAAAGAAAGCAAAACTACCCCACCTAAGTTCTTGAAATGCTTTTTTCTTTCTGGAAGAAAACCATACTGTTTGCAGCTGGAGCTCATGATGATTCATCGTGCAGACCCTTTTTGCGTCGATAAAGCCGGAAAGACACCCTTCGATCTCGCATGTGAATTTGGAAAGGAGAAGGTACGTCAGTGGAGAAGAACGTATCTCATTCACTTTACACAGCAAGCGTGGCAGTTAAATTTTATTTGTAAAATTTGCAGTTTGCATCACCGAATAAAAAATCCACAATAAATGAAAGAGCAGAGCTGAATCGAATCCAGCAGAGTCAACCCTGCGTTGCGCAGTTTTCAACGGCCACGTTGCGCAGTTTCGCCCGATTAGACACGTTCTCTCGCGCGAACATTCACACTCGCATGCTCGAGCCGTCTGCGTCTCCGCCCATACAGCGTGCGTTGAGGATCTCTCAACGTGCCGTTGCGAACTGCGCAACGCAGGGTTGACTCTGATCAGCCCCTGCACCTCTAGCAGTTGTTTCGTTGAAGGCAAGGCGCGTCATTATTGCGGTTTTATTGTGGAGCGCGCGTCAACGCCAACCACAAACATACCTTGCATTGCGCCGCGTCAAAACGTGATACCCATGTTCTCACACTCTCGACAGTTTGATAATTTCGAGGCCATCAGCAGGCGATTTTTGACTCTGATTACACTCTTATACTGACAATTTGCAATACTTTAGATGGTCGAGTATATGTTGTTGATGGTCGACAACCCAGCTCTGCTTCAACATGCTGGTGAAGCTCACAAAGCATCGGCTCTTCATCTCGCGGCTCGAAATGGACACACTCATGTAAGTGTGAGAGTAGAACTCGATTCTTTAAGAGCTTCTCTGCCCGTGCGAGCGAACTTTACCAGTTGTATGCTTAACCACGGTCCTATCGTCAGTCATTCAGACAGTCGTTTCTAGGAATAAGACAGGAGAAATAAAAAAGCAAACGATTCTCATGAAATTGCAAATTATTATGTATAAATATATAGAACTGAAAATGAGATAGGACACGTCCCTTTTTTGAGTGTTTTCTGTACCGGAAGGTAGGAATGGTTTGACATAGGAAAGATGATCGATGATACAGTATGTATTTTTTGAGCACTTGTCATAACACAAGTACAAGATAATAATAAATAAACAATAGTAGAATGGATATATAATTTCAGATTGTCTGTCGATTATTAGAAAACGGATGGGACGTGAATCGAACGACCGTGCTTGGCACAGCTCTCCATGAAGCATCCGGTTACGGAAGGGCACAAGTTGTGCGATTCCTGCTTCATGTGGGTTTCCAGTCAGTTCAAGGCTTGTTACGGGAATTATTCGTAGATCCACTGCTAATCAAAAATAAAGGGTTGAGGTAGATAATAACACTTCTATTCCTAAGAAGAGGCTAAAAAGCTGCACAGATACAACCTCACGTCTAACTTGGCGTAGGAATTCCGCCTAAGTGTGAAAGAAACTTGTGAAGTGGATCGCCATTTAACAAAAAAGAAGAGCAATCCCAAGAAACACCAAGAGTGAAGGGGTCTTCTTCTGCACTGCGACGAATTTTAGTGATGAGAGGTAGATAGCGAGATAAGGTTTGATGAGCGCTTATGCGAAGGAATGACAAACGAAAATGGGAGCATGGTTGTAGCATTATGGCAGATCAGTTACATCCCAACGGTGAACAGACTGGCCAGCAGCAGGGTGGAACGACCAGAGGCAGAGGACGAGTCGCACCGCTCACTGTGGTGGTTAGGCGTCAAGTTCAATATAACGCATTGAGTATGTCCCACACCACTGCGTGGGCTCAAAAATGCAACATCTGCTTAGTTACGCCGCGTACGCTTGTTTTCTTTGTACTATTATATCCCTCCAGTCGATCCCCCCCTCCCAACTACTCCTTTCGAAATAAGCACAATAAGCCTTGGAGGAAAAGAAGCTGTGTAAGCGGTTTCCATTCGTTCCAGAATTCGTCCCTCTGCGTTGCCTAGTCCTAGTGGCCTTCCGACAGACTGCCCCCCACCCTCGAGATACATTGCGCCAAAATCTGGTTAGCTTGGCTGAAAAACAGTTGAAGCGGTTTGGATTTTAACATGAACGACAAACAATAACTTTCGTTGCGAGGAAAGGTAAGAAACATAACAAAAAGGAACAGTCTGGGGGTAACTGCGTTTGGATGGATGTACTAGTACAAGGAAAACATGCCTACAGTATGCGGTGCGACTCATCCTCTGTCGCACCTGCGCCTCTGACTTCCGTGCAACGGGCCTCTTGGGGGTACCCTTACATCCTGCGTCAACAACTCGCATTGCATAGTCCACAGCCCGTGTTTCTTGTCATGTTATTCGCAACATCGTGAGGATCACATCCTCATCGTGAGACTTGCCCATAAAAAGTGATCACGACTTCTGGAGAGCGATGTGGTTTTGAAGACCTCACTGACCATTGAACGTCAGTGATGGCTGAAGTAAGAGGCGGTCCCAACCATACCCTCAGCACGCTGAGTGGCTCAGCGCCTTGAAGGTAGAAACGATTGTCGACGAAATGTCCAAGATCCTGTTAGATTATCAAGAGCATGATGTCAAATCATGCAATAGTAGCTATGTATCACTTGTGGGCTAGACAATATCAGGACATAGGTGTGCAGCTGGCGAAAGCTGTATCGTGATAGGTGGCGCCGGTTACCTCTTCTTGGTCTGAGCGTTGAATCGTGAATCAAATCCTGTCCAAACCAATCAGCCTCCCAACCTTTTGAGTCAATTGAGTGGTTTACATCATTTTCGGTAACAGTGACTACTTATCATCTGGCCCCTGCCCATTCGACGTAAGCAAACCAGCCCTTTTGGCGCTTCGGCTGGGACCGTATGCTGAATGTTGGGGAGGGGATGGAGTCCCCGACGGTGGACGGACCACTTCAACTCGGTCCTTAGAACCGCCACAATTTGGTGCTTACCTCAGAACTAAGCCTTAAAGAGAGGACGGGTCCGTCCCCTCTCCAAGGCTTAGTCCTGGGGTGAGCAAACCAGCCCTTCTGGCGGAGCTGCTGGACCAGCTGCACCACTTGCGTCAGTACTCTCCTATCGTACCAACCGAGTTGAAGTAAACCGTCGACCGTTGGGGACCCCATCCCCTCCCCAACATTCAGCATACGGTCCCAGCCGAAACGCCAAAAGGGCTGGTTTGCTTACCTCCATTTTGTATAACCCACCGCGCGAACGAGTTGAACCAAGATTCTAAACCACAGTAAAATGTGTGGTGTATCCCAAGAAAGGCTCGATCTACAACAAATTCTTGATTTATTTTCCTGGAGATGCACTGCTTTGTTCGTCATTTTGTCCTAATTTTGATCGCTCTTCGGGACGAAGTCGTGCCAATTGGTACGCTAAGCTTGGATTGGTGACATAGCTTTCAAATCCTTTCGTCTCCAGGAAAAGCTCATGAGAAGCGCAAGGGCGAAATGTGATTCAATGAGGTTTAGCATGAGACAGATAAAAAAATCGTGTTGGTGATGCGGTGGGTGTTCCATGGACGTTCAGTACGAGAATGCTAACTCGTTTCAGGCAGGAATCAATTCGTCACTAACAAATGCGTCTGGCCTTACAGCACTCGAATACGCGAAAAAGAACGCTCATCGCAATCCAATCACTATCAAAGAGATACGATTCCTATTGAAAGGTACGTGATGCACCACAATCTACGCAACCCAGCTGTATTCTCCCCGCGGTCTTGTTGCACGTTAGGGTGCTACGGTCTTTATAAATGATCCAAGAAACTAATGCAAGCCAGTGGTCGCTACACAGGTATACTTAAAGGATTCCTTCTCGAAAAACCCTGATTCTATTTCACCCATAATTCACTAACATCGTTCACGATAAGAACGAAAAGAACAAAAAATTGCATTTGTTTTGGTAAAAAATTCGAAAAACCGAAAGGGCTGCTACGCGTTCAAAGTACCGCCGGACATCTGTCACAAATGCTGGCGACGGGATGCTTCCACTTGGTTCTTGGAGTGCCGTCACTAGAAACTCTTTCTGGCCTTTTGACTTATTGCATTCACATCTCACACTTCTACTCCATCCTATTCTATCGATCGATTTGTCTCTACTCTCCAAAATCGCACGCTTTAACCCGATTCTTTCATTGCGTCGCCTGATACGTAGCCGCCCCAAGGCGGACTTCTTTCCATGCCCGCCTTTGGCTCCGCGCACTTACCTTCGATTGTCCATAGTGTGGTTTTTGTAAGTTTGTTTCTCTTCGGAAACTGAATCTTTGTGCGTGAAACTTTGTATGTTGTCTCTAGTGATCACAACTGACATATCGTGTTAGGAAAGAATGCAAGATTTTCCGGGAAGGATTCCTTTGAAGACAGCAGGTACGCTGGGCTACAAGCCTAAAAGCCGGGTCGACGGTGACGAGTTACTCCCTTTGATGAAATACTCCTTGAAAACAGAATATCCAGGGGAGGGTTACCGTAGGCAGCTCGTTGGACCACTCATCAGGTCCCGGCGGGTGTGGTAAAACGTTCTCTTCCATTGGGCGGCTTCCTTCAGCGCTCTTCCTATGCCGTAAGCTTTGTTTCGAGAATAACATTGGACTCAAGTAGAAAATATGACCAGGTAGAGAAGCACCAGCGCGCCTGTCACAGCAGATCACTTTTCCATAATGCCTATGCTAGGTGGTTTTTTCAAACTCATTAAGCCATTTGGTTACTGCCGTTTTCTACACGATATTATAACATTGCCTATTACTGGTATATATTTCACCATTGATTAATATTTTCGCTTGAATTCCGGAACATGGGTTGATATTCAGCAAAACGGAGAACGCACCTGGCTCCCCTTCTGTAGCCTTTGCTCGGGTAATTCTGAGTCCAGATGATCCCATGAAAGCATACGGTTCATACTCGGAGAACAGGAATAAAGAGCAATTATTATGAATCAACTGGGCATGCTTGAGGTCATATAGTTTACCTCTGTGACTGACTTGCAATCTGCTGAACCGAACATCTTGGAGCTGTCCATTCTGGCGTCAGGAACGTTAATCGGCGACAAATACACTCACAGCCCTAATTAGAGATGGTTTAGTACGGTCGCGAAAAGGCGCCAAGGTGACGCGGTAAGTCAGTATGGGTTGACATACCGCGCATTTTATCGCCCCTCCTCTACTACAGGCGCAGAGGAGCAATGTTCAATTGGGTGAAATAACTTTACTCAATATTTACGAAATGAGCTGTCTTTAGGGTAGGCTGGTTAGGGAGTGGCTTGTGGCCGATTCATCAGTTCCATTCGTTCTTCTGAACGGCTTCTGTTTACCTCTAATTTCTTTTACTGTAATTACGCCCAATACAAAAATACGCTACAAATTGCTTTACATTTTCCTGGTTGCTCGTTACCTATTTGCTCGTTGATGTTCTGCCTCATTTACTTACTTATCAGTGTCGCCGATCGCTTAGCAATTTCGCGCAGTGCCCGCACGTTGACTCGGTCTCTGCCCATTGCGCCAGGTAGGCGAGTGAGGCTGACCCTCTCGGTAATTACACTCTGACCTAGGCCTTATCCCTCTTGCCACAACGATTAGCTCGATCTCTCTCCACGCACTCTGATCATCCGGCTCTCGTGCTCTTGACCATTCATTTGCCACCTGCTACTAATGATAACTGGTAATGGTTGTGGTAATGTCCATACCTCAAGTACACCACTTAACTCGTATTTCCCTTATACGCATACATATTCAATTCGTTCATCCGCAACCCGCTGACTTTGCTTTTGCCCTTCATATTAGCAAAATGTAGGACAAATTATTGCTTTGTCTGTGGATGCTGCTGCTCTTCTGTTTGTTACTACTCTGTTACTTACCATCTTTCAATCGTTGGTGTGAGTTTTCATATATGCTACCTTTCTAACTGACTTCCGATTTTTGTAACACCTATTTACACTCTGAAGGAGCTGACCGAATCATATTAAAGAACGATTCGTTTCGCTCCTTTCTCAGACAAACCTCATTATTTTGCGAGAGTTTTGAATTTTTCTTTATTACCTTCTAGGGGAACATTCCGAGGTAAGGTGCGCTTCTTCCGACGTTCTGCCTGTGGCTCATTCCGAGGTAACCGTGTACATAGACGAAAACAGCATTGAGCCATCTGCTCTCTGGATTATACCTCATACTGCTTGTAGCAGAGTTGCGATCCCAAACGTGAAAGGTGCGACCGTATGTGGGATCAAGCAGTACAACTACTCAACCACAACGGGCTCCTCTTCCAGATCAATGGCTCTAAACGTTTTACGCAATGCAAAACGAATTCCATAGATAGCATCAATGGAATTCGTTTTAGAACCCGCGTCACAGCGAAAAAAAAAACGGCATATTTCTCCTATCGGGTTCTACCTTCGTGGTGACTCTAGCTTTTATTTTGTAGAATCTATACAGAGGATTCCAAGAATTTTTTGCTCTAATGAAATTCTGATAATTATCTCACTCTTTTTGACATTCCCATATCCATAAACCAATTTGTGCTCCTTACTTTTTAATTCCTCTGCGGTAGGTGGAGGCAGACTAAGGCCGGTGTCATAGTTTGCGAATCGAGCGATTCGCAAACTATGACATTGGCCTAAAAAGGAAGGATCGTGCAACTAGCAACAGATACGAATAATTAGTCTCCCAAGGATGCACAATCAACTTTGAAATAACTTTGAACTTCCTTTGGCAGTAATTTCCATCAAAATCTCTGGAACAGGGTTAAAGAAGGACTGTTGAACCATTTGTATCTCACACCTGTACGAAGACTAGGTCCCCAGAAAGGGCAAGGCCGGATAAGTCTGATCCGGCAGCAGAGCGTGGAATGGGAGAGTGATGGCAGTCGACCTTGTCGAGTGCAACCTGCGCGCATAAACAGAACTTAGGTCGCTTGCTTTCATCGGCATACCTTTGTTTTCTCTCCAGTAATATGTACCTATGACTGCTTCTGTGTTTACACACCTCCTATTCATAGGAAAAGAGGTAAATGACACCTCTGCCTTATGCAACACATTTTCTAGGACTTCCGAGTTCGCTTTCTCAGAAGTTGTGTCGTGACCTTTGTAGCACCCTCACCTGCATACCACTTAGCAGCAGTTTTTCTCAATTACATATTTCCTTGGGACCAGTGCATTCACGAAGTAAAAGGGATGGAAAACCAATGAGCCTATCGCCCTGGGTCCACACCCTTTTCTAAATTTCCCTCGGAATACAAAAAGGGCTAAAAACACATGGCCTTTCTTCATGCATTGTAAATACTTTCCATTCAAAGTTTTGCAATGTGAGTGGGGCAAAACTGCTCTGCAAAGGCAAAGGGTAAAGATCCAGAATCCGGTATCGATCCATTCTTTTTGAATAGGCCATGCAGCCCATTTCCCCTCACAAATGCAGCAATTTTTGAATGCAATTTGTTCTGTGCGTAAGCGCTTGCAGAATATACGTATCGATTTAGATAGATTTTATTCTCTAAGACGAAAGTCCTATAGCCAGAAGGCTCATTGAGCTCACCCTGAGTGGGGAAGCTTTAAATGCATGGAATGGATTCGCATCGAGACTTAACCCCCCTCCTCCTCCTCCAGGCCCCACATATGTATGGTTAGTGGAGTCGGTCCCCGCTTATCTTTCACTGTGGAAATGTGCTTGGAACCAAATTGATTCTAATAAGGGGCTGTCAGAATCACAATATGTTATTAAGGTGCGCCATTTTGGTTCGAGACCGCTGCCCGACGTCTCGGCGAGTCTTTTTTCTTTTTATTGACGTTTAAAACGAGTACTGCTCACATGCTCCTTTTTGCACAAGGGTAGAGTGCTTCACTCACCTCGGACCTCTTTCCCCTAAAAAATGGGGTTACCGTAATGTGCTTGAACCACTGCACCAAATGCTCACCTTAATAACACAGACCATAACCAGATCAGGACCAACAAGGAGCTGGACTGTACCACCCTTTTCTTAGTTGAGGTTAGTAGCACTTTGTCATCATACGTGTCAGTAGACGGCCCCTCGTTGAGTGATGGGAAAAGGTGTGAGGTAAGTGGCTGCCGTCGACCACCTAGTCGAGTACTGCTATGCGGCATTGTTTGTGTGCGGTAGCAGGGGCTGCGCGGTCACTGCCTATCGATCATGGTCACGGTCACTCATGCATGGCGAGTTGTAGTGTTTTTGTCACCGGGCATTGCCGATCCTCCATCCCTATGCCCTTCCAGTTCAGCGCTGTCTTCACATCCTCATTTCACCCTCGTTTTGTCATCTCTTTATTTCTCACCTGAAATTCTAGTCTTTCCATACTCAAGCCATCACTTGTAGATCAATTTATCATCACTCTTTGCTACAGGAGCCCTTCGGACTCAGGAGTAGTTGACGAGGAGGAATGGGGGGGGGGCAGAGTCAACCCTGCGTTGCGCAGTTCGCAACGGCACGTTGAGAGATCCTCAACGCACGCTGTATGGGCGGAGACGCAGACGGCTCGAGCATGCGAGTGTGAATGTTCGCGCGAGAGAACGTGTCTAATCGGGCGAAACTGCGCAACGTGGCCGTTGAGAACTGCGCAACGCAGGGTTGACTCTGGGGGGGGGGAGTGGGGGAGGTAGGACAAGACATTTTGGCGTGCAACACCCAAGACGTTCAAATCTGTGATAAACATTTTCACTTTCAAACTTATTT